TTGATTTTTGCGGGGAATTACTCAGAAAACTCTCCCCTACAATATATCTAAGTGCCGAGGACATCGGTGAGGTGTGACCTTTTATGCATATTTACCAACTCTTTCTCCTAGATTAGAGATTGCTAAGAAATTTTGTCCAAAAGAATTTGCTAGAAAGGCGATTAATATTACAAAGCATCGTACTTTTAAAGCTACAGAACATCGTCAGAGTTTGTTATACACTGGTCCTATTATTTTTTGTGAACTCATGAATGAAGCCATATATTTACATTTTTTATTGTTACATTCTGCGATTCGTATTTTAGCAGACGCCATTTCTTGTAGGAATGCAGCAGCTGTCAATAAAGCAGAATTAATGTTAAAAATATTTGTTCAAAGAGCTCTTGAGCACTATGGTATAGAATTTCTTTCGTATAATGTCCATGGTCTTCTACACTTGGCTAATGATGTAAAAAATTTTGGTCCTTTGGATTCGTTTTCAGCCTTCCCATTTGAAAATAACATGAATTATTTCAAAAAAATGTGCAGAAAGCTAAATCAACATTTACAGCAAATAGCAAATAGACGTTATGAGAAAAAACAATTAAAAGAAAACGTTATTTCATCTGAAGATTTCATTCAAGTTTCAGGTTTACATAAACATGGACCTATACCTACAACTACTTTCCATCACTATTCTCAATACCGAAATTTACTTTGTAGACAGTTTCTTTTATCAATGAATGGAAGGGATGATACAGTAATTCTTAAGGATTCTAGTGTTTGTGTTCTTCAAAATATTATCGGTCATGATAATAAGTATTAACTTTGTTACGTGCGGCGCTCAACTTTTGCGCCACCCGGTAGGAATAGTGAGAGACAGTGCCGGTGCCAAGTGACAAGTACAATCAATTATTTCCCACCCGAAGATTCTTCTTATTTTCTCATTTGAATTGAATTATTTTCTCATTTGAATATGGATTATTTTCTCATTTGAATTATTTTCGTTAAGTATTTGAATTGTTTTCGTTAAGTATTTGAATTATTTTCGTTAAGCATTTTAATAATTTTCGTTAAGTATTTGAATTAATTATGTCTCATTAAGTGGTATTATTAAACCAAGTGAATAAGTTAAGGTACGTGGCAATTGTGAGCGACCGGGCGATGTGCCGTCGCCCATATTATTTTTTTTTGTTATTATCAAGGATACAATTTGTTGTAATCCACAAATTATGAGACTGTATGATTGTCGATTACAACGAAGCGCCGTTGCGTTAAATAATTAATACTTGAGCGCGACCCTCGAGGTCGCGACTCCACGCCGAGCGAGCGCCTCCACCTTAGCCCACGCTACCAGCACAGGCCATAGAACACAAATTAGCGCTCTGATGAAAAATAAATCATTGGCTCCGTCAAAATTCCGGTGAATTATGAAGGAAGTCCGTGTGTACGCCTTTGGTTCGGTATCACGGAAACCTATATAGAAAAAAGGGAAATAGGTATGTGGGTTATTTACTCGAGAATGCAAGTAACAATCAATACGGGACAAAATGTATAAGAATGGAGAAAATCTCCTCTACAAGTGGACAAAGTTTCATTCCGCCACAGCCAGTAATTAGTCAATTAATGACGGATCAATGATTTATGGAAGGGCCCTCCGTTCCGGCCCACTTCCGCACTTGCCCTACAAGCTATATGTATACAGGGTGAGTCTTTCCATATCCGACAAAATTTTTGAGAAGGTAGAACGGATTGAGATGAACGGAAAAGTCCTGTACCATTTTGCAATTTTCGTAATAGTTAACGAGTAATTAATTACACAGGCACACGAAAAAAAAGGTCTTGTCCACCAGACGAGATACACATTTCTATACATTTTTGGGGTCGCTGAATCCGAATCCGGGGTTGGTTTGACTCGGTCAGGTCGCATTTCGTTCCTAACCTCAAAAAAATGATGAAAGTTGGAACATTCATGAAAACACCCAGAAAGCAAAGCGATTGTATGTTTTCAGGGTCGCTGAGTCCAAATTTGAAGGTCATTTGACTCGGCGAGGTCGCATTCCATTCATAACCTTAAAAAATGAATTAAAACACTGAAAACTGTTCTCGACATAAATTGTTTGTATTCAGCGCCCGGTACATAGAACTTGTTAGCCATTCTTCGAGCATGGCTATCAGTCTGCAGCACAAAATCCTGCTGCCTTGACAGATACTGTGACGATGACAACTGCCCCGAAAGGGGATGTGTAGAATGATTCGTTCTCAGATTTGTTGAGGTAACGAAGCCAGCGAAGGCGCGCTGCCTTGCAGGTGGACGTGAGGGTGTGAGGATGAAGCCGTAGTGTGTCCGACGACGAGTTGACCTAGTCCTCGTCAAAGTCGGAAAGCTCTCATACTTAGGCCTAGGGAGGTATGAGAGTTATCACCCCTAGGACGGTAGACTCACCTGCGGTCGGACCAGGATCCCTCACGCGCGGGTTTTTCTCAACACATATGGCACCTTCAAACAAAAAATTTCTAGTTTCTCTTTCGAAACATACATGCAACAAAGACACTGATGCTTTTTGCTACATATGTAGCAAATACCAGCCCCCAACAGATCGAAGAATAATTTCTGTGAAAATTGAAAATATTTATCAGGAATGTTTTGGCTTAAAATAACGTACAAAAAATGGATGCCACACAAAATATGTGCAGCTTGTTCTAAGATGTTACATCGTTGGAATTCAAGCAGACATTCTAAGGACATGAAATATAACAAACCTACGTTGTGGAAAGAGCCATTGCATCAAAAGGATTGTTACTTTTGTATGAATGACGTCACAGGTTTCACTAGAAAAAATAAGCAAAGCTTTGTTTATACCAATGTCAAAACAGTAGAAAAACCAGAAAGATCGTGCTGTAATGAGAGAAATTCTGATAATTTTGAAAATAAAAATTATCTAAAAGTAAGAAATGATTCCGATGAAGTAGACGAATCGAGGAAAAACATTGAATCCGAAGAAGAAAATGATTCCGATGAATATAGTGATGAATTGGAGCATCACGAAAATGACGACGATTACATCCCAGGTAGAGGCAAGGATAAAGTTTTCCAAGTTACGTTGCAGGAGAAACTGAATGACTTGGTAAGAGATATAGGGCTACCAAAAGATGGTGCAGAACTTCTTACGTCGTTTATGAAAAAAAAGAACTACCTAGCAAAAGATGTTAAAGTTGATTATTTCCGAAACAGAGAAGAAAAATTTAGAAAATACTTCACGAAAATAGACGACCCATCGCTGGTGTATTGTAACGATGTGCAAGGGTTAATGGATGAACTGAAACCAGGTGTTTACAAGGATGAGGAGTGGAGACTTTTTATTGATTCTTCTAAAAGAAGTCTCAAGGGAGTATTACTTCACAACACGAATAAGTTCACTCCTATACCGATAGCTCATTCAAGGAGACTCACCAAAATCTTGAATTTGTTTTGAAAAAGATCAAGTATTCAGAATTTAATTGGAAAATTTACGGGGACTTGAAAATTTTAGGTTTGGTATTAGGGCAACAAACAGGCTTTACAAAAAATCCATGTTTTTTTGTGTTTGTGGAATAGTAGGGATAGAAAGAATCACTATACTCGCAAAGAATGGCCAACGAGAATTTCATTCAAGCCAGGTTTGCAAAATATTAAGTTTAGGCTCCGGCTAGCCTGTTCGTTCGTCTTAATTACTACGCTTTATGCAGTGGGTGACCGCAAGAGGAAGGGTAGTGAAAGGCAAGATTATGGACGCTACGTTAGAGGTTACTATGACCTTTTATTTGTGGTTCTTACACGCTGGGTGTCGACCACCCTTGAACTTTGTTTGAGTTGCCGCGTCCCGAAAAGTCTTCCGCTTTGTCTGCGTTACTGCGTCGGCGAGGTACGCTCGACGAGGTGTGCTCCCGTGGTCGGAGTCGTCGCTCACGACTAAGCACACCCTCGGTGTCCTGGATCGTTCCGGTTGATCTCGCTGCGGATCCGGTTCCGGTGTACCTGGCCGACAGTCCGTGGGTGCATCCGCCTTGGGACGCTTGGTCTGGAGGTGTACGGGCAGCGGCTGCGTCCTGTCAAGCGCCTGAAGGAGACGACTAGCGCCCGGTGCAGCGGCTGGCGCTGGAAAAAGCGGCTGGCGCTCTGGTGAAGCGACTGGCGCTTCCCGGAGGGTGACTGACGCCCGTAGGAGCGACTGGCGCTCGGAGGAAAGCGGTCGATGCCTGGTGGAGCGACTGGCGCTCGGAAGAAGACGGTTGACGCCTGGTGAAGCGGCTGGCGCTTCCCGGAGGGCGACTGGCGCCCGTAGGAGCGACTGGCGCTCGGAGGAAGGCGGTTGACGCCTGGTGGAGCGGCTGGCGCTACTTGCGTTCGGCGTCTTGCGCTCTCGTAGGATGTCCTTGGGCGACTGGCGCTCGGAGGCTCCTTCTTCGGCGACTCGCGCCGGAAAATCTGATTAAAATTCGCTGCGGGGGTCCTCCTTTTATCCTAGAGTTGACCAAATCTTGATCGCAGGTTCGTCGCCCACGCGCCTCGCCACCTATCGGTAGCGCCGCGAACTACCGTATTCCGCGGCGTGCAGGCGCGTGCCTTATGGCGCGGCGCCCTGTGGCTGCCGTAGGCCGCCACATTACCCCCTTCGTTGATTTTTGGTCGGTATTTGGAAACGCACTGTTTTGTGTGATATCCTTCCGCTTCTTGTCCTTATTTCTGTTGGAACGGCGGGTTGTGTAACCGATGTGGCCGGTTGCGTAATAGGTGCGTTTTTGGTATCGTTAGAATCTGCCATCATATACGCTGGTTTAAGTCTGTCTATTGTTACGTGAACGTTTTTTCTGTTTATCCGTAACTTGTAGGTTTTTCTGTTTTTGCGAGTACTTCATATGGGCCGTCAAATGTTGGCTATAATGCTCGAGTTGGCGCGTCATGCCTTAGAAACACGTCAGTTGTGTTTTTCAAGTCTTTATGTTCGAACGTTGCAGATGCTCCATGTCTTTTTATGGATTGCGGCCGTAGTTCTCTCATAGTTCGCCTTAGATTCTCGATGAAGTCACTCGTGTTGTTTGTCGTTTCCTTCGGGGTTTCTTGGAGAAATTCCCCTGGAAGCCTCAGTGGTTCTCCGTAAACCAATTCTGCTGAGGATGCCTATAGATCTTCCTTGTATGCTGCCCGTATACCCATCATTACCACGGGTAGTACTTCCGTCCATGCCTCTGTTGCCTGGCATTTTATGGCGGTTTTCATTTGTCTGTGCATGCGCTCGACCATTCCATTTGCGGCTGGATGGTAAGCTGTTGTGTGGATGTGTGTAGTACCCGTGATTTTTGTTAACTGCCGGAACAGGTCAGACTCGAATTGTCTTCCCTGATCCGTAGTAATCCTTGTTGGAGTACCGAATTTTGCTATCCATTGTGAGAACAGTTTTTGGGCAACTGTTTCTGCTGTAATGTCTGCTATGGGTATGGCTTCGGGCCATCGTGTGAATCGATCTACGATGGTTAGGCAGTATCTTTTTCCTTTAGAGATTGGTAGTGGTCCTACGATATCGATATGTATATGCTCGAAGCGCCTTGAGGGGCTCATGAATTGTTTTACCGGAGTTTTGTTGTGCCTGCCTATTTTGGTTTTCTGGCACATTAAACACTCCTTCGCCCATTGGATGCAGTTTGCTTTGACTTGTGGCCAGACGTATCGTTGTGCGACCAGCGTAGCTGTTGCCTTGGCCCCAGGGTGTGATAGGCTGTGTAAAGACAGAAATGCTTGCTTTCTGTACTGCTTGGTCACAAAGGGTCGTGTGATAGGCGTTGCGGTGTCGCAGAGAAGCTTTGTGCTGGTTCCAGGTATCTGGACTTTCTCCAGTTTGAGGGAGGAGTTTCCTTTTAGGATATCTACTATCTCAGTATCCTCCTCCTGCGCTTTGGGCAGATCCTCCAAGTTGATCGCCGTCTGTATGCTTTCCACTCTTGATAGTGCGTCTGCCACTGTATTGTCTTTGCCTGAGATGTGCCGAATATCGGTTGTGAATTGCCCGATATACTGCAAATGCCGCGCTTGCCTTGGAGAGCTATGTAATGGATCCTGCTGGAATATTAATGGTTTATGGTCGGTAAAAATTGTGAATGTCCTACCTTCGAGCATGTGGCGGTAATGTTTAACAGCTTCGTATATAGCTAATAATTCTCTATCATACGGGCTGTATTTGCGTTGTGCCGGGTTTAGTTTCTTACTGAAAAAGGCTAGCGGTTGCATTGCTCCCTCAGTTTGTTGTTGGATCACTGCTCCTATGGCTGTGTCCGAAGCGTCGGTTGTGAGTGTTAACTCCGCCTCGGGGTCTGGATGAGCTAAAAGTGTCGCTCTAGACAGGCTTGCTTTGCATTTTGCGAAGGCCTCCTCTAGTTCTGAGGTCCATGTGATGGGTGCCTTCTTTTTTGTTTTGGGACCGCCTAGTAAGCTGTTTAACAGAGCTTGGTCCTTGGCGGCATCCGGTATGAATCTGCGGTAGAAATTTAACGTCCCCAGGAATTGTCGTAATTGTTGGATATTCCCTGGCTTAGGGAACATTTTAATGGCTTCAATCCGGTCTTGCGGGGGTTGTGTACCTTTTTCTGATACTTCGTATCCGAGGAAAAGTACTTGTTTTTCCCCGAACACGCATTTAGCCGGATTGAGTATGATTCCGTTCTCTTCTAGTTTTTTGAAGAGTGTGCGCAGATGTTTTTTGTGTTCTTCCTCATTATGGGAAGCAACTAGGATGTCATCGATGTACGCGTAACAAAATTCCAGTTCGCCTATGATTTCGTTAATGAACCGCTGGAATGTCTGCGCTGCGTTGCGTAGTCCGAATGGCATGTAGACAAACTCAAAAAGGCCGAAGGGAGTTGTTATGGCGGTTTTTGGGATATCCTCCGGATGGAATTTGGTTGTATGCTCGGACCAAATCTATTGTGGAGAAGATCTTCTTGCCGTGTAACGACTGCGAAAAATCTTCGATGTGCGGTATAGGATATCTGTCTGGTACTGTTCGAGTATTTAACTTCCTGTAGTTGCCACATGGCCTCCATGAGTTGTCTTTCTTGGGTACCATGTGCAGCGGTGTTGACCATGGACTTTTGGACGCTCGTATTATCCCTTCTTGTAATAGGAGATTGAATTCGGCCTCCGCTATTTTTAGCTTGTCCGGAGTTAGACGACGGGGGCGGCACGCTTCAGGTGGACCGTCTGTGGTTTTGATGTGGTGCTGAGTATTGTGTTTCGTAGTGTGTTCGCGAATCTCGCGAGGAGAGTTCGCTGGTTACCGCTGCGGATGGAAGCAGGGTGAGAGGATTTCGCGGTGAGAGGCTCAGGGAGCGAATGCACGCTTGCGAGGGTGAAAATCACGTGATCGTACCTCGGGTAGATTGGATAAAATATCGAGTCACAGTTTTAATGAACGTAAAAGCTTACAGTGAGCAGTCTCTGAATTAACGCTGGATGAGAAGTCTTTGAATCACTTGCCCGGGTCGATATTATTGATCGAACACCGGCCTCGCGATGTAGATGCCCGTGAGCCGTGTCCACGCGGCGCCGGCTTGCGCGATGCGTGGTGAGCTTGAGCCGCCGGTGATGCTGTATCCCGAGCTGTCTGAGTTGAGTCGCACTTCTGAGTCCACTACTTGTCCGCACTGAGTTTATTCTCCGGTGAGAAAAGTCCACGAGAGCACACTAACGTCCTTTTCACTGCACGACGCGTGTACTTAGTACCGTAGCCATGAGCCAAAAAGCGCCGGAAACGAGCGTGAAGAAGCTCTGTCGCCTCGCGTCACGATCGGGCCTGCGCGCGCAGCGCTCCTGTGGCGCTGCACGATCTGACCCGGCTGATGCTGCCATCACGCCGGTGACGAACAGACCGAGATTCATAATTGAATCCGGAACATAGTGTGTATCTTATTAGTGACCCTTCCTAGACCAGGGAACTCTGACAAGATACGGTGACACTCGTTTTTCATGGTCAAAACCTTGATGGAATCCGGTGCTTCCTTTGCTGTCGTGCCTCGCGTCTGTATTTTTGTTTTGCCATCCAAGAGGATTCCTTCCCGTAGGTCGGGCAGTAAGTGGTAGTAGACTAAGAAATCGGCTCCTATGATGGGAGTGGTGACGTCTGCTATAATAAAACGCCACGGGATTGCCCGCCGGACGCCTAGATCTGGTTGCACTGTGAGGCTGCCATAAGTTTTTATTACGGAGCCATTGGCTGCAAATAACTCGTATTCTGTAGGCGAGAGGTATCCTGCCGTTTTCGTGCGAGGGTATACACTCACGTCTGAACCGGTGTCGATAAGAAATCGAGTCTTGGTGTTTTTGCACGTTATGTATAGGCGGCGGGGTGTCTGGGCAGGTCGGCTGGCCACCAACAGTGACTGCCCTACTCTTTTACCGGTTTTACATAAGTACACGGTTTAGTTCACTTGCGAGCCTTTTCACCAAATCGGTTGTGGTAATAGCAATGCTCATCGTTGTCTTTCTTAGACTTCCGGCTTCGACTCTGGCTTCTGCTTCTCTCCTGTTTTTTTTCTTTAGCCCTACCTTTTGCAAGTTGCGTAGTGAGGGTTGCCACTTGTTTCGTCAGAGCTTGCATCTGAGCTTCGAGAGATTTCTTGTCCGGTGAGCCTTTTGTCGAGACGGCCGTTGTAGAGGCTCCCATTGTTTTGCTAGTCATTTCGTGTATGCGGTCAGCTTGTTCGGCCACCTGGTTTAAGGGGTCCTCTGTCCGTGTAGCGAGAACCATTTGCATTTGGGAGGGTAGTCTCCCGAGCCAGAGCGAGCGTAGCAAAGCGTCGGGCACGTTTTCGCCTGCTAATGTCCTTAAGTGTCGAAGAAATTGTGAGGGCTTGCGGTCCCCGATGTCTTCGAGTTCTAGGAGTTGCCGTGTACGTTGCTCCTGTGAAACGGACATCCGCGAAATGAGTGCTGTTTTGGCTGCTTCATATTTGTTGTCTGCAGGCGGACGTGTTACTACGTCCTTGATCTCCTTTATTTGCGGAGAGTTCAAGTATGCGATGGCGTAGGAGTACTTAGTGTGGTCTTGGGTTATACCGCTAAGAGTGAATTGTCCCTCGAGTTGCGTGAACCATAATTCGGGCTCATCGCTCCAAAAGGGAGGTACTCGTACCGCGACTCGGCTTAGTACGGCTTCTTCCGTAACCTGTGTTCTAGCGTTTTCTCCTTCCATTGCGATCACGTCGGGGTCACCAATTTTAGGCTCCGGCTAGCCTGTTCGTTCCTCTTAATTACTACGCTTTACGCAGTGGGTGACCGTAAGAGGAAGGGTAGTGAAGGGCAAGATTATGGACGCTACGTTAGAGGTTACTATGACCTGTTGTGCCTCTCGACGCAGTCGGGGCACGGGATGTGATTCGGGATCGTTTGCCGGGTTCACTCAACGACTCTAGGTCGACGATTCAACAACCGTTTTAGTAAAAAGGCTTCTTTATTCAGAACTAGTATAATTCTTGCACTCGTGTTAACAGCAGTTAACCGTATCGTTACTTAGTTTAGATTGACCCGCCTTCCTTCCTTTCCATTCCATTTTATATCAATCGCGCTTGGCCCTGTTGTTAGGACGTTTATTGTTTAGTAAGCAGTTCTTCCGTTAGCAACTGTATGCGCGGCTTTGATGGTTTCGTACTTTGCTCCGGATACTCGTTTTCGTCGCATGCGGCAGGGGTTATCTGATACCTTGCCGCGTGCGAGGTCGTCGTCTGATGTGCGGTACATCGCACTCATGACAGACCTTTTATTTGTGGTTCTTACACGCTGGGTGTCGACCACCCTTGAACTTTGTTTGAGTTGCCGCGTCCCGAAAAGTCTTCCGTTTTGTCTGCGTTACTGCGTCGGCGAGGTACGCTCGACGAGGTGTGCTCCCGTGGTCGGAGTCGTCGCTCACGACTAAGCACACCCTCGGTGTCCTGGGTCGTTCCGGTTGATCTCGCTGCGGGTCCGGTTCCGGTGTGCCTGGCCGACAGTCCGTGGGTGCATCCGCCTTGGGACGCTTGGTCTGGAGGTGTACGGGCAGCGGCTGCGTCCTGTCAAGCGCCTGAAGGAGACGACTAGCGCCCGGTGCAGCGGCTGGCGCTGGAAAAAGCTGCTGGCGCTCTGGTGAAGCGGTTGACGCTTCCCGGACGGCGACTGGCGCCTGAAGGAGCGGCTGGCGCTCAGGAGGAAGGCGGTTGACGCCTGGTGAAGCGACTGGCGCTTCCCGGAGGGTGACTGACGACCGTAGGAGCGACTGGCGCTCGGAGGAAAGCGGTCGATGCCTGGTGGAGCGACTGGCGCTCGGAAGAAGGCGGTTGACGCCTGGTGAAGCGGCTGGCGCTTCCCGGAGGGCGACTGGCGTCCGTAGGAGCGACTGGCGCTCGGAGGAAGGCGGTTGACGCCTGGTGGAGCGGCTGGCGCTTCTTGCGTTGGGCGTCTTGCGCTCTCGTGGGATGTCCTTGGGCGACTGGCGCTCGGAGGCTCCTTCTTCGGCGACTCGCGCCGGAAAATCTGATTAAAATTCGCTGCGGGGGTCCTCCTTTTATCCTAGAGTTGACCAAATCTTGATCGCAGGTTCGTCGCCCACGCGCCTCGCCACCTATCGGTAGCGCCGCGAACTACCGTATTCCGCGGCGTGCAGGCGCGTGCCTTATGGCGCGGCGCCCTGTGGCTGCCGTAGGCCGCCACATTAAGCAAACCCCGTTAGTCGATCCAGACAGAGTACTTCTACCTCCTCTCCAATAAATTGGGTCTCATGAAGCAATTTGTTAAGGCTCTTCACAAAGAAGGCAAATGTTTCGAATATTTACAGCAAAAATTTCCGAATATTTCAGACGCAAAAGTGCATGAGGGTGTTTTTGATGGCCCACAAATCCGCAAAATGTTGAACGATCAGAATTTCATCAAATTTATGAACAAAATGGAAAAAGCTGCGTGGACGAGTTTCAAAAATGTCGTGGAAAACTTTCTCGGTAACCATAAAAATGAAAATTTCAAGAAAATAGTAGCTCATCTGGTGAAAAACTTTCAAAAGCTTGGTTGTTTGATGAAGCTAACGTTGCACTTCTTGGATTCTCACATAGATTACTTTCAAATGAATTTGGGGTATTACAGTGAGGAGCAGGGAGAAAGATTCCATCAAGACATAAGGGAGATGGAACGTAGGTATCAGGGAAGGTGGGATGTGAATATGTTAGCAGATTACTGTTGGACATTGCAAAGAGAAGTTGTTCAAAAAGGGGTGAAACGTCACAGAAACCCCCTGCATAGGTCCTTTGAGAATAAAAGAACAAGATATCACAGGGAAAAATAAAAACAATTTTCTCTCACGTGTCAGGGACAGTTTTCGATGTTAAAATTTATTTTTTTCAAGGTTATGAATGGAATGCGACCTCGCCGAGTCAAATGACCTTCAAATTTGGACTCAGCGACCCTGAAAACATATAATCGCTTTGCTTTTGGGTATTTTCATGAATGTTCCAACTTTCATCATTTTTTTGAGGTTAGGAACGAAATGCGACCTTTTTTTTGGTAACGCAGGAGAATCCTTTATGGATACCCGGGCCTCCCCTGGGAGAACCCCTATTAACCTGGACCCCCAACCACCGCAAATCAAGGTCGCACTAGGTCAAAAATTTAGTGCTATTTAGGTGCTATTTTAGTGCCGCAGTCCGAATTTTAGTGCTCAAACCGTTTAGCAGGAAATTACGTAAAAAATGGGGGTCCAGCTTGCCATTAAGCTGCAACCCCACATACCCCAAAAAATATATGGAGTGACCCTACACAAAAAATCAATACACCAGAATTAAGTGCTAATTAGATGCTTTACAATAACCACAAACATACCTGAAATATCTAACAAATAGCCTTAGAAAATAAATAATATGTCAGGAGAGCGCGCGCGCCGCGTGGTAAAGTGCGTTACAACGACGTCAGAGAATTAGATGTTCGAATGAATTCA